ATGGCTGTGTTAGAATCTTGTTACTATTTTTAAAAACCTATTTTTTTTTGATGAGTGAAAATGGTATGGTAACCCCGCCTGCGCTAACGGGATACGCTGGCGGGGCACCAGTGAAGGGTGATAGATGAGAATGAAAACAGGCCAGTTAGCCCATCATGATGAATTCATCAGGAATTAACCACGATAGTTTCCAGGGGGAACCGCGAGGAGGTCGACCTGGTTGGGTATATTGCTAGCAATAGGATCCTCAGTCTCCATTACTAATAATCCCTTTCCCCCCTAAAAACCTATTAGTGACTTAGTTACTGATTTGCTGATCTTGAATTTGCTATAAATAAATAAATAAAAAAACTTATTAATAGACAGATTAGGGAAAAAGATTAGCTGTCAGCGCAGCTTAAACATATTTTTTTTAATACTAGAATATTTGTGACATGGGTTACGTTAATTAACAAACTGTAGATATATGGGTACTTAGACCGCCTGTCAGTTAGTCGTAACCTATTTGGGTTAGATAGAAATGATAGAAGGACAAATTGTCCATTTTAAACCGACCAATTTCACCTTAAATACTAGGTTTCATAACAAGCAATTTACTTTTTAAAAACGCTTCAAATATAATATTAAATAAGATCAACAAATAAATGCCTTCTCTTTCGTAATACCTTAGGTTACGAAGTATATATGTAGATAGGCAATATAAAAGAGAGAAATGTTTTTTACAGGAATTGACATTTAATTAAATCCACATTTACACAATAAATGAATTTTAGAAATATATTAATTGTAAATTGTATATAGTTAGATGAATTTTTATTCAAATTGTTATTCATATTAATACAGACTCATTATTATTACCTTATTTGTGTGTGACATTGTTAATATGTAAAATTGTTGTATTTTTGTAATTTTGCACTTGTACAGTCGTACACTTGTACAATTTAATTGAATCCAAATAGAATTCCAAAGATCCCTGAATAGAAATTAATTCTACATTTAACATACACGTAAATTTTTGCTATTTTTGCAACTTTAATTCTATACAAATTCAAGTCTGTCACGTGTACACATTTACAAAATACGCACAATGTTATCATTTTCTTGTCTCGTTTTTGTGAATGCGTTTTTGTCAGTACGTAGCACATTATACTACGTCTATGATAAATTCTAGCGATTGAGAAAAAATTAAAGATTTTTTGGTTCTGATTCTATACAATTAAGGGTTTGATATACATTTTGATTGATAAATTGTATAGACGGGTTTTTTATCATGAAGACAGCGTTTAAAATTTTTAATTTGCCCTTTTAAATATTAAAACGCCAAATTCAAATGTCAAAAAAAATTTACAAACTTTTTACAAAAAAAAAAAAGAAACAGCATCTTCCTCTACAAAGAAAAACGTTTGAATGTGGAATTCCACAAGATAAATTCCTTTGATGAATTCACCCAAAAATTAATCACGATCGTCTCTACGAAGCGCACGTAGTAGTCGAACTGATACGATATGTTACTAGCAATTAAAACAATATTTCCTGTCACCAACAATACTTTTTAAATCTATTTAAAAAAAAAAAAACTATCAGCGAGTTCTAGATATTTCGAAAGTGACAAATTCTATAAATCACGAACTTAATTTTATATTAATGCAAATATTCTACCAAGAATTGTACAGAGACGTGTAGAGATCAATCCATGGCTTATTAAATTGCTATCTATTGTTATAGAAACCGTATATTTCGTAATAACAGGCGTGTTAATTTCGTTTGGAATTTAATTAAACCCGCCATAATGATTACGAAAGATTTCGACATGAAATTGTTACTGTGGAGTAAGTAAATTGGAGCAATTCAAATAAACAGAATGCTATTTATTTTAAGCTCCAGAGATATCGACACTTACGAAGGTCACCGCACTTCTCCGTTTTAGGTACATGCCTAGACCATAGACTTTTTTGTTTCATTTATTGCGACATTGGCGAAAGCCATCAGCTAAAAAGTAACAATTACAAGGTAACAGAACATAATACATTTGCAATTTGCCAGACCATAGACTATAAAAACCCTAAAAGTTTTTTCATTTTTACATTTTTTCACCAGACTTAGATCTCAGGAATGAGGTGTACATGGGCCCACAAAATACACTGTCATGTCTATACATTTATTTATTTATTCATTAGTACATGTACATATTTGTACAAGGCGGACTTAATGCTAAAACATACTCTCCAAATGAACATTAGAGAAATTATTAGAGAAGGAACCTTAGGAAGTCTATGGTGTCGTTCATGACATTTGGCGCCATTTACCAGTTTCCATTAGGTAGACTGTCAACTTGCTTGCTATATTTTTATATTTTATATTACAGTACCTACGGCGCGATAAATTCTAAACGCCCACGAGTCTGTTACTAAAATAGATAATGTCAATTTATCTAGTGTAATTAAAACAAATTAACTAATATACTAAAAAACGTATAAAAATAAATTAATCTAAATAACGGCGGTATGCTCGCCATTGCCACGTTGAATTTTTTTTACGCAACTTAGAATGACAAACAAGCTGACGACCCACCTGATGGACAGTGGTAATCATATTCTATAGGGGGGAAGGGATCGTTAGTTATACGTAATACAAGTCATATTGCTAGCAATATACCATTGGCAGATCAACCTCCTCGTGCTCCCCCACCCCCCCCACCTGAAAACCATCGTGCTGAATTTCGGGTGTATTCATAATAATAGGCTTACTGACCTGCTTTCATCCTCATCTATCATCCTTTACTGGTACCCCGCCAGGGGCTAACATTTCATTATCATCCAATTAAAAAACAAATCGTCACCTACAGACCTGAACAGTATCATGGATATAGCCGAGTATACGGTGTCGCTTATAATACCCTTCAAACTCTGAGAACTAAGGTGTTACACCTCTGTACCCTATAATTTTATTACTATATCCCACCCTCCAAACCTTAAAATATATATTTCGAAATATTCTCGACAAAATGTGTTTATTCACTCTAACGATAACAGTCGACAAAAGCCCCCGACTACCCCATAATCGCGGGGGAAAAGGGATTGTTAGCAATGGAGTTTGACAGCCCCATTGTTAGCAATATGCCCTATTAGGTAGACCTCCACGTGGTTCCCCCTGGAAACCATCGTGAACAATTCTTGTTGAATTCGTCACGATGGGCTAACTGACCTGCTTCATCCTCACCTGTCATTCTTCACTGGTGCTCCGCCAACGTATCACGATAGCGCAGGCGGGGTTAGCATACCATTTTCACCCATCAAAAAAAAAACTACCCCATAAACGATTACAGTCGTGAGTATAAAACGTTTTTAAACGTAATACCTCGTATATTGGAGAAGGTATTGTTTGTTATTGGCTACAAATATACTGGTTGTTTTCTTTATAATGTTATTTATTAATTAATTTTAAATGAAAAATATCTTCTGTTGACGTTATACATATATTCTGTTATTATTCACTTATTTTTAATATTCTATTTTATAAAAAAACTCTACGTTTATATATGTGTGTGTCCTGTTATATCCATGGTACTGCTCATGTCTATAGACGACGGTTACCACTTTCCATCAGGTGGACCGTCAACTTGTTTGCCATTCTGAGTTGTATAAAAAAAATCCATTAAAAAACGTCATACATAAATTCTCATCGATGCTAGACTAAAGGACATCAAATTTTCACTTCCGATTCATTTCTATATAAAAACTACCATATTATATGTAAGTAACATGTATCCAGTCTAGTTCAATTATTAAACATACCAATATTACGCGGGAAACTTTGTAAGCTGCATTCGGCGGAGTTCTCGTTACGTTCCGGTTATCCGTGACAGATCTTGATCCGTTAATCCGTATTCAGAACCACTAATACACGCTACGCAATTATCACTGGGATATAGTGTGATATATAGACAAATTAAAATAATTTTTAATCAATAAATCCGTTATTTTATTTGTTTACATTATATTATACACTATGCAGTTACAGTATAGTCAATTTTTTTTATACAACTTAGAATGGCAAACAAGCTGACGGCCCACCTGATGGAAAGTGGTAACCGTCGCCTATAGACATGAGCAGTACCGTGGACATAACAAAATATACTCTTTGGCCCATGATACCCCCATGCGTTGCCATTCCTAAGGACTTCGGTGTTATTCCTCTGAATCCAGTAAATTCACGCCATACCCCACCTTTCAAACCGAAACACAGCCATGCAAACACAACTGCTTCACGGTTGAAACACGAATGGGACATAGGTACCCAAGCAATCGACTTTTGTACAAAGTGTCCCTCTAGTACAAGTTGTCACGATTGCATAATATTAATAATATTGATATTAACACGACCTTAAACAAATTCAAATCCACTTTGTATAGATTGTTTAGTTTAATTTAATCAGCTTAATAACAGCATGACATGTATCATTGCACATATGTATAGGTTATAAGTGTACAAATCTTTCAAATCCAAAGTATTACTGTAGTTTAACTATTTATTGTATAACTAATATTGTAGTTTTTATAATTTTTCATTCTAGTTATATATATATATATATCGTAGCGGCCTTTGAGGCAGCATTTTATAATGTAACCTTATTATAATGTATTTTAAGTAGATATAAATGTATGCTTTGTTGGTTGTTCTTAAATAAATAAATATGTCCGTGTGGTCCCGGCATAGAATAGGCCACCCCTTTTTCATGGGCATCTTGAGAGGCGACTAACTTAATAGTAGACAGATGAGCAGCAGCGTCTCATTTAAAACATCTCTAGAAGAACTACTGACAAAACTCCCCTTATGGGAAAGGCTTATGTTCAGCAGTGGACAGTTAACGGCTGATTTTTTTTTTTATTCAACTTAGTATGGCAAACAAGCTGACAATTCTCTCGACTAATGGCTGACGAGTTTAATCATTCGTCTCCACAGATAATAAATAGCTGATAATTTCACACAATAAAAAAACATTTCAAAAGAAAAATATTGTATTTATTATATTGTAATACAAATCTCATGGCACCACAACAAGGCACGTCCGACACTAATCACTCGTTCAACATACAATTAACAGCTATATACAACGCGTTATTTATAACAGTTATAACGTTATTGCGTCAACCAATAACGTGTTATCGTTGTCTATCAACAAAACTTAATTAATACTGACTTATTTTAATAATTTATAATAATAATATAAATACAGTTTGTACGTTAATTAATTGGTTTCTTACATTATTTTAATACATAAAACCACATTAGGTGCGGCACATATTTATCGATTAAAAACATTTAAAATGCGAATATAATAAATAAATAAAAGAATTATTATCCATTTTATTATTTACAGGATATTTTTAATTAGAAACAAGTTGTAAATGGTTTATAAATATTATTAAAATATGAGAAATATAGACATAATTAGAATTATAGGTGAATGTTCGAAAAAATTTCGAAACGGGTGAGGTTTAAATTCATAGCTTCTACGTCATAGTGAGGCCAATGTGCTTACTAAGTTACCCCTCCACTAGACGACCGTCTCGATGCGAATTCAAAATATTTCCATATTTTAATAATATTACTATACAAAATATTGACAATTATTAATTATGAATTATGCAATCATAAATTAGTGTAAAAATGTTTTTAGTTTTTACGTAGTTATTTATAATTTAGAGCTGGATAAGATGCGGCTATTTTTTAATCTACTCTGTGCTTGTTTTATTAGATGGAAATTGTATAAAAATTTCGAATAGATGCTTACGTGTTTCTTAAGTATATTTGCATAAGAACACAGGGACTATACAGGGTTCCTTTTTAGCGGAGATAAATTTGGAAATAATAAGAAATTGTTCAGATAACTGCATGTTTAAAAGAAGCCCTTAGATTATATAGATAGAGTGTCTCCATACAAATGCTTCAGGAAAAGCGAACTTTTTCATACAATTTTGCGTGACAAATAATTATGAGTGTTACCTTTATAAATTCTATATTTATTTTATTTTATAATTTTTGCATCTTTTTAATGGGTAAACACTGTATTTTCTTTATTAAATAATTAAATATAGATACATCAAGGTACATTATATGGTTGAGTATAGAAAACACTGATAAAAAACGCGTCAGCTAATTTGACAATTTATCTGACAGAAAGTTGACTCGTTTTTGAAACTCAATACTCTATCTATATAACCTAAAAATAAAACATATACCAATTTCATAAAACTGACCAATAAAAATGTTTTCACTATTACCCTGTCTCCATTTTGTTCCAAATTTCGGTCGGTACATTCGGTTATTCTTATTTTAAAATAAGGCATTTCGGTTAGTCAATTATATTGTTTTGAGTTCCATCTTGTACAATTTGAATTATGCCTACTAAATTATGTTCAATTACCGCCGTTCTAATTTTAAAAATATCCACCAACTCTTAATTACTTATAATGCTAATTAAGAGTGACAAAGGAAAATATTCTCCACAGCCATCACGTCATGAATAAATTGAGGCACCATTTTAATTTTTATCATCAACAGTACATAATTATTATTGTTTTTCTTTGTAGAACCATTGTTTTTTTTTATCATCACATTATTAAGTTTACACGCCACAATAAAAAATATTTGTAAAAAAAAAGATATAATTAAAAAAAAAATAACAAAAATATTTCACTATGATTACTCGAATAAAAACTAGCATTAATTATCACTTTTGAATAAATTAACAATATTTATTATTATTTAATATTATTATGAACTAAATAACTCGTGACTAATACGTAGGTACATTAATATTCTGTCCAGTGTACAATGCACCATCTCTTTCACTGATACGAAGAATAAAAAGGACTGCAATATTATTTCTATAGATCAGCACTTAAATTATTTTTATCATCAAATTGATTAAATATAACTGAACCTGTTTTAAAATGTGATATATATATATATATATATATATATATATATATATATATATATATATATATATTTATATATTTATATATATCTCCCTCTATCATATGGATGTAATCACATTTCGGATTTTTTTTGTTTTATTGACTTAAATGCTTCCGACTTTAAATCACAATTCTTATTATAAATAATTACAATAAATGTCATACATGAATACTAAAACTCGTTGTTCTGTTAGTGTGAATGTATGGTGTCTTTTTTTTTTAATTTTTTTTTTTCTCTTTTTTTTTTCAACAAAACCATTAACATCCTTTTAAAAACTGTTATCTATGAAACTAAATATTTTTTCCCAAAGAAATAGGTGTTCAATAAATTTAAGATTTTATTTTACAAAAATATCAAATATGTCTTCTTCAAAACTGGTGTAGAGATTTCTTCAGGGTCGACAACGTGCGCGTAATACCTCTGGTATTGCAGGCCTTCATAGGCTACGGTAACCGCTTACCATCAGGTGAGCTGTATGCTTGTTTGCCACCTCAATGGTATAAAAAAATAACACCAACTGAAATGGTGACAAAACCAAACCTAAAAAACTTTGATGTAAAAAGCACTGAACCGATTTCGATAAAATTATAATTGACTAATTTGAAAATAAAACCTTTTAGATAAAAAAAAATCCAAATCGTTTTATAAATGATGGATTTATGAAATAGCAAACATAAAAAATACAATTGAATTGAAAAAAAGAAAAAGGGCGAGACCTTTTTCGAAGTCAATCAATCAAGTAAGTAAAAATTTTAGTATTTTTTTTTATCTTTGTTCGATCCACTTTTCTTTAGGAAAAAAAATATCAGTTGCACCAGTAAAATACAAGTAGTTAAATGTAAAGTCAAAAACTAAAAAGTTATGACTCTTCTCGGCAAATAACAACTTTCCGAAGCCTGGAGTAGATTTAAAAAAAAAAAACTATTTAAAAGTACCTATAAACAAGTCTACTTGAAGAAAGATAATCCAAATTTGAAAGAATGAATAGAATAGAAACAGTGTTTGTTCAATTAAAATTAATTGTAAGCATGTTTTTTTTTTTAATAATTCTACAGCCCTATTCAGATGTTAAAAATTTTAATTTTCTTTAATAATTATTTTTTTTTATTCAACTTAGAATGGCAAACAGGCTGACGGCCCACCTGATTGAAAGTGGTAACCGTCGCCTATAGACATGAGCAGTACCATGGACATAACAGAATATACTGTTTCGCCCATGATACCCCCCATGCGTTGCCATTCCTGAGGACTCAGGTGTTATTCCTCTGTACCCTGTAAATTCACGCAATGATTGTAAATAACTAGATTAGAGTATGGTTCAATTATAAAATTTAAAAAAATCACATCTGACGCGTCCTTAGCTTTTTTTTATTAATATTACAGTTGTGATGACGTCATTAATGGTGGGTTAAATGTGATAATTGCTTACTTGTAACGTATACGTAGCAGTCACGCGGGTCCCGCTTCGGGTATGCAGTCGTTCGACAGATGCGTGTCATTCCGGGAATGCTCGTCATTCCAGGAACGCTCGGTTGAAGGTTACGCGCGCGCGGAGGCGGGGTGGTAGGTGATGACGTTGTGTGCGTGCGTGAAGGGGTGTGGCGCGGGGGCGGCGGGGGAGGCGGGCGACGAGGCGGCGGGCAGCTGCAGCGCTCGCGTCTTGCCGCCCAGCGTGCACCGGGTCGTAGCTCCTCGTTCCACTTCTACCGTCAACTCGCCGTTTGTCAACCTGAGAACAACATTATTGTGGCTTTTTTTTTATATTTGAAAATGGAATGGTAACCCCGCTTGCGCTAACGGAATACGCTGGCGGAGCACCAGTGAAGGGCGATTGGTGAGAATGAAAACAGGCCAGTTAGCTTATCATGATGAATTCATCAGGAATTAACCATGATAGTTTCCAGGGGAAACCGCGTGGAATTCGACATGATTAGGTATATTGCTAGCAATGGGATTCTTAGTCTCCGTTTCTACCCCCCCCCCCCCCCCCATTTTTTGACTTGAAACTAAAGTCTCAAGACTTTTGTAAAACAAAAGTAATTTTTTTTTATTAGATAAAAATGGACTGGTAACCCCGCCTGCGCTATCTAGTGAGGGGTGATAAACGGGCACCAGTAGGGTTGAATACAGATCAATAAGGCCATCTTGACGAATGCTTTACAGGGGTAACCGATTCTAAAGGTTGACTGGTAGAGAATGCTTTATATCATTGAGCCCACCATTTGTACCAAACATCTTTTTGTAACATGTTCAATCTGATATCCAATTGTTATTTCTTTTTACTATTTAAACTAATCGACTGAATAAATTAAATTTTATTACATTCCTTAATATTTTAATTAATGTTATTTTATTATTATATAATTTCGTAATGTTTAAATGCTACAAAAAAATTTAAAATTAATTTATTGTAATTTCTGTTTTCAATAATTGCACGCTTGACCCAAGTAGATTTTGTAAGGTACTTTTAATTTATAAGATCAAATGTTTTATACCCAAAATGATTGTAAATAAAATAAAAGCCAGTATAGTAATATATGTACATACATGTGGTATCTGTTGGCGAGCACGCCGACGAGTTCGCCGACGAGGTCTGCGGGCGCGGCGCTGCCGGCGGCGGCGGCGGCGGCGGCGGGCGGCACGAGCCCCACCACGAGGTCGTTGTTGGCGGCCGGCACGCTCACCACCACCAGCTGCACCTCGCTGCTCATTATACGCACCGCGCCCACCTACACGGTACCACCACCAACTAATTATTTGTATACGGGGCCGCCTTACAACGTATGTCGACCAAATAAGTGACGTGCTGAAGAAGGGCCAAATTAAAAGTACTTTTTTCGAATGGCAACGCATGGGGGGTATCATGGGCGAAACAGTGAGTTTACTGTTTCGCCGCAATGCTGTTTCGATGCAAACTTAAGAAGTTTTTTTTGATGGGTGAAAATATGTATGTATGGTAACCCCGCCTGCGCTAACGGGATACGCTAGCGGAGCACCAGTGAAGGATATATATAGGATATACTCTGTTATGTCCATGGTGTTGCTCATATCTATAGGCGACGGTTACCACTTTCCATCAGGTGGGCCGTCAGCTTGTTTTCCATTCTAAGTTGTATAAAAAAAAAGCTTCATAATCATCAGCCAAGTATCCAATATGACTCATCTCGTACCTCAGATATGGACGTGGGTTTCTTGAGCACTTTGAAGGTGTTCGCGTCCAATTTGTATATTGCCGAGTCCGTGATGAGCAGGCACCTTTCCGCCAGCTTGTTGTATCGATTGAACTTGTGCACTTTACACGAGAACAACGCCTTGCCGATATGCTGCGTCCTTTGCAGGTTCCCTATCGATGCTTTGTATAGAGCTGCAACAAGATAACGAATCAATCATTTATTTGAGACTAGCTATTTCCCACAGCTTTACTCGTGCAAATCAATACATAAAACTTACAGTCAAATCTGATCTCTACTTTTTGCGTGAAAAAGTAACAAACATTATTCTGCTGAATATACGCTTCCCTGACAAGGGGTGGTTTTGCCTGTCATCCTGGTATAGAATGAGCTACTGTTTCTTTTCCCGTGAGTGTCATAAGAGGCGATTAAGGGAATTCGTCGAGAGATGGGCAGCAGCTTCCCTCTTAAAACATCTCCAAAGCCTGACTGCGGTATGCCAATCCGCCTGCCAAGCATGGCAACTACTGGCAAGACCCTTCTAGCAGGAGGCTTATGATCAGCACTGGACGGTAAAGCTGATAGGATGATGATGAGCTACGTAGGCAGAGACTGACCCGACTTGGCGTTGTAGTGGTCGTCGGCCAGGTAGTCGCCGCGCCAGGCCCGCGCGGCGCCCCAGTGCTGGCGGCGGGCGGCCAGCGCGCTGGCGGCGCTGATCTTCATCTTGAGCTGCGGCCACTGGTCGCGGGGCACGGGCCGCAGCGTGAGGTAGGCTCGCCAGCGCCGGTAGGCGGCCTGCAGCAGCGCGGCCGGCAGCCGCCGCGGGGGCTGCGGCCAGCACTTTATGACGCCGCGGTTGCGCTTCAGCTCGGCCTGCAGCTCCGCTATGTAGCGCTTGGCCTTGTATCGCCTGTGAATAATTAGTAGCGTAGTAAAATATACACGGGTATACTCAACAATGGAGCAGTCAGAGGAGAGAGTGAGATATAATAACTAGCGACCCGCCCCGGCTTTGCACGAATGCAATATTAATTTGTGTAACTTTTAAACTGTTCAACACATATTAGTATGTCTGGTATTTTAACGTGTGTGAAAGTAATGCCCGAATATTCTCTAAGATTTTCAAACGAACATCTTGTAAAAAATATTATACTTTTAACATTAAAAACATCTTTTTGATAGAGGTAAAACTAGGGCTGCCTGCTGAGTGTTACGCGCCACATAACAAAACGTGTAATTCGGTGTTGCCGATCTTCCGCCGACCGAAGATCGGCGATCGAACAGCGGGTCTACCATGAAATGAAATTCCGAAATTTCGGACTCAATTTCGTGTTTTTGTTTATACCTAAATAGGACCTATAAATGGAGTTTAACATTTCATTCTTCGTACATCCTTTCATAAAAGTCCAAAGTAATAATTTAACATTTTTAATATTTCCAAACGGCATGTATTATGTAATTTTAACATCAAATTTGTGTTTCGTTTGGCTCCGAAATTTCGGAAAACATTTTATGGTAAGCCCTCCGATGCCGAGCACGAACATTCCATCGATATAGTGACGCATCCATTCGCGTAGTATGACCGTAGTATGACCTAGACACTAGGGTTTCCAACTTTTTCCAACAAATAAAGTATGTTTAGATCTGAGAAGAATATTAAATAGTATTTTAGAAAAATGAACAGTATTTTACGAGTATTTATTTAAATTTTTAAACACATACACTTTAGAGCTTCTCAAACAACTTCAGTCTTTTCTAAAAACTTCATATGCCTCCCCATAGTTATAAATAAAATTAAAGTAAATGAGTAACTTATTTTTTATTAAATTAATCTACACTTAGCGCCCTCTGACTGAACAAATAAACCTGTGTGAGCATCTAAGTCAGAAATGACAACGCATGGGGGGTATCATGGGGGAAACAGTATAATCTGTTATGTCCATGGTACTGCTCATGTCCATAGGCGACGGTTACCACTTTCCACCAGGTGGGCCCGTCAACTTGTGTGCCATTCTAAGATGTATAAAAAAAAATTGTATCAATTACATGTTTTGACGTTTTTTCGCGGATGATCAGCAACCAAATATCGACTTAAAGTAGCCTAGACTTAGATTGTATAATAGTGTACGACTCACTTCCATGCGTTGTATATGACGAGCGCCGCCCGCATCCTCCTGTAGCGCATACGGGCGATGGTACCGCGCCAGAGTTTCTGCAGCAGCACCACGATGGACGGGATCAGGTCCGCGCGCGCAGCCTCCAGCTGGTGAAGAGTGCGCGCGCTCCTGCATCACCACCACCATTATTACCACACGGTCAAACGTTACCGTGACGTTAGTGACCATGACGGCCATAGATATAGATCCTAATACGGCCGTAGGCCCTCCTTGGCATCCCGGAGGGATTGTTAGCAATAGAGTTCGACAGTCCCATTGCTAGCAATATGCCTTATTAGGTCGACCTCCACGTGGTTCTATTTTAGCAGTAGCTAGTTAGTTAGGATTAGGTTATAGCGCAAGCGAGGTTACCATAGCATTATCACCCATTAAAAAAAAATACGGCCCTAGTGGGGGGGGGGGGAGGGATTGTTAGCAATGGAGTTTGACAGTCCCATTACTAGCAATATGCCTTATTAGGTCGACCTCCACGTGGTTCTATTTTAGCAGTAGCTAGTTAGTTAGGATTAGGTTATAGCGCAAGCGAGGTTACCATAGCATTATCACCCATTAAAAAAAAATACGGCCCTAGTGGGGGGGGGGGGATTGTTAGCAATGGAGTTTGACAGTCCCATTACTAGCAATATACCTTATTAGGTCGACCTCCACGTTCTTCCCTCTGGAAACCATCGTGAACAATTCTTGTTGAATTCGTCACGATGGACTAACTGACCTGCTTCATCCTCACCTATCATCCTTCACTGGAGCCGCCGGTGTATACCGATAGCGCGGTTGGGGTTACCATTCCATTATCATCCATTAAAAAAAATACGGCCCTAGTATGCTTGCAACACCAGAGTCATTCTCATTTGTTAATAACATTTACGACGTAAAAATTACGAGTCATGGTAACTTCACAGCCATACTTTACCACATGCAAACTAACAGTATAGCCAATTATTAACTGTCATCCATTAATATTTTTTTTATTTTAATCTGTATATATTTTTTTTCAATGTGGTAATATCTCCTCATTATGATATATTTAAAAAAGAAAATATTAGAATTAAATATTAGAATCTATATTTTTTCTATAAACTAGATAAAAAAAAAACAGCTGAATACACCTTAGGATATCTTCGAGTTAAAGAGTAGTGACACACTATTGCAACACAAATAGTGTGTTTCGGTTTGAAGGGTGGGATATGGCGTGAATTTACAGGGTACAGAGGAATAACACCTGGGTCCTCAGGAATGGCAACGCATAGGGGGTGTCATGGGTGATTTAGTGTACTGTTATGTCCACGTTACTGCTCATGTCTATAGGCGACTGTTACCACTTTCCAGCAGGTGGGCCGTCAGCTTGTTTGCCATTCTAAGTTGCATAAAAAACTGGTCCTTGACAATTCATTCATTCAATTTACAATACAATATTCATACGCGTGTAATATGCGTTACAAGAAGTTCAAAAGTAAACTTTAATGGCGCATTTCAGGCGTTATTACCTAATAAAGAGTTTCGTGTGGCCATACTGCACGTCGGTGACCTGCAGGTCCTTGAGCAGCACCATGACGGCGTCCTTGTCGCTGGTGCCGCGGAAGTTGGGCCACGTGTACTGCGACAGCATCTTGTAGCGCTTCAGGAAGCGGTCGTAGCGCTGCCGCGACGCGAACCCGGCGCGGCGCACACGCACGTTCTCTACCAGGCCCAGGTATGCCACCTGGTGGCGAACCTGAGGAAACACTCGAGTTTGTACAATCATGTTTTAAAGCAGTGATCGACGAGAATCTATTCGGGCATTGCTTTTTTACTTATCTAATATTAAAATAAATTTTATTAAAAAAAAAATTAATAAAAATGTTTGGATTGTATGTTAAAATTGGGAAAAACTAAAAATAATTTTAACATAAAACCATGAATGTATTTTATACCATAAGAACTGAAACAGACCCCATTAAAAAACGGGACAAGTCTAGCAAATGCCGATAATACCAAAAATAAAAAACAGAAAAATTTAAAGTAAATAAGCGTTAAAAAAAAGCTGATCAAGTGCGAGTCAGACTATCACAATGAGGGTTCCGTACAAAATCATCAAGTTTATTTTCATTTTTTTTTGTAAAATTTACGATTTTCGGATTTATTCCTTTACTTGTGCTATTTGATATTGTTTCTTGCCAAATTTCGTGAGTCTAGATCAACGAGAAGTACCCAATAGGTTTTGATTCCGTTTGCGAATGTCAAAATATACTATATAAGTAGAACATAAATGGCTATCTTTTGCTTGCATAGATTTTGAAGTTTCATTTTTTCACTGCTTTAAGAGATTGCAGACCTGAGTATATGATATTAATTTCAACTTGATACCTCCACGAGTTCCTAAGAAAAAGGGTCTTAACAGACGGACGGACGGACAACGAAGTGATACTATAAGGGTTCCGTTTCTTCCTTTGCAGGTACGGAACCCTAAAAAGCGCAAATTTATTACTCTTTCATCTACTTATACTCTTATACTAATAATACTATCCTATCTACTTTTATTAGTAGATTTTAAATGCAATAATCTTGCAGTTTTGAAACAGCTAAAATAAAACATACGGGTCATCAGATAACAATCGACTACCGCAGTCTATAATAGTGTAAAACATATACAAAGTTGTCCTACTGTTTGTTTGTTTGTTTGTTTATTAATTATTATTATAATTTAATTGCTTTCTATTTGTACACATTTGCTATTTTCTTTTATTTGTTTTGTTTTGATTTCTTTTGTTCTTGTTTTTTGCGCTACTGTGTGGGCCGCATGCTTTTTCGATTAAATTATTCCCTTCTTTTTTTCTTTCCAACAAAAGGAGAGGAAGACCAAAAAGAATGTAGAAGATTAAAAAAAATAAGGTCTGTCAATAACTAATTGAAGCCCAGCAGAACAAGCTGTGCTGATTTCAACTATGGAAGAACTCCTAAAGAAAGAGGACCAGTACCATGGCGTACTTACCAGCTGGTCGTCCCACGTGTTGGGCGTCTGCAGCGGGTTGGGCTTGATGCAGCGCACGTAGAACGGCTCCTTGGTCTGCAGCCCCGCCACCAGCGCGGACATCGAGTTACGGAATAGCGTGGCCGCCGACGGAGGCCGCTTCGATGTCTGCAGCCAAACATCATTATCAAAGGAGGTGATGACAATTTTTTTTACGAATGATAATAATTTCCGCCGTATGGTCCCAGCATAGAATGAGTCACCCCTTCCTTTTTTTATACAACTTAGATTGGCAAACAAGTTAACGGCCCACCTGATGGAAAGTGATAACCGTCGTCTATAGACACGAGCAGTACAATGGACATAACAGAGTATACTGTTTCGACCCTGATTCCCCCCATGCGTTGCCATTTCTCAGGACTCAGATGTTATTCCTCTGTACCCAGTAAATTCACGCTATATCCCACCCTTCAAACCGAAACACAGCCATGCAAACACAACCGTTTCACGGTAGAAACACAAATGGGACAGAGGTAGTTAAGCAAACGATTTTTGCACAAAGTCTCCCTCTGGTAAAGTCTTCTTTTCCTACGAGGTCGTAAGAGGCGACTAAAGGAATTTGATGGTCGAGGGATGAACAGCAGTGTCCAGTTGCCAATCCAGGCGCGGCAAATACTGGCAAAATTCCCCGTATGGGGAAGGCAGTTGTGTTTGCATGCCTGTGTTTCGGTTTGAAGGGTGGAATATGGCGTGAATTTACTGGGTACAGAGGAATAACACCTGAGTCCTCAGGAATGGCAACGCATGGGGAGTATTATAGGCGAAACAGTATACTCTGTTATGTCCACAGCACTGCTCATGTCTATAGGCGACAGTTACCACTTTCCATTAGTTGGGCCGTCAGCTTGTTTGCCATTCTAAGTTGTATAAAAATCCTATATTTAGCAGTAGACAGCTAATGGCTGATATCGTCATAGTCGTAGAATACTGACGGATCTATATATGTAATCTTTGTCAGATCCGTCAGTATTCTACGACAATGACGTTAAATGAGTAATAATATATAACGTACCTTCTGTATGTGATCGCCGCCCTCGGGCCACATGTCTGCGAGCGAGGCGTTGCTGGAGGAGCGCAGCAGCCGCTTGAGGTCCTGCCACAGCGAGTCCTTGTTCTTGTCCATGAAGCCGGTCACCGCGTATATCACCTCGCCAGCGTAGTGACTGCACAGTGACAAATCGAATTCCATTTGCTGTATTTAAGGATTCGAACTAGAATTACTAATCAAGTAATTCCCCATTAGTGCCAGCCAGCGGAGGGAAAGGAATTGTTAGTAATGGGGTCTGGGAACGGAGGAGTAACATCTGAGTCCTCAGGAATAGCAACGCATGGGGGGTATCATGGACGAAACAGTATGTCCATGGTACTGCTCATGTCTATAGGTGACAGTTACCACTTTCCATCAGGTGGGCCGTCAGCATGTTTGCCATTCTAAGGTGCATAAAAAAAATTGCCTGATTGCTAACAATACAGGTCAGGTCGAACTTCATGTGGTTCCCCCTGCAAACCATCGTGGTTTTTTTATGGGTGAAAATAGTATGGTAACTCCGCCTGCGCTAACGGGATACGCTGGCGAAGCATCAGTGAAGGGTGATAGATGAGAATGAAAACAGGCCAGTTAGCCAATCATGATGAATTCATCAAGAATTAACCATGATAGTTTCCAGGGAAAACCGCGAGGAGGTCGACCTAGTTGGGTATATTCCTAGCAATGGGATTCTCAGTCTCCATCACTAACAATCCCTTTCCCCCCTGTAAAACCATCGTGGTTAATTCTAGTGCAATTCGTCACGGTGGGCTAACTGACCTGCTTTTATCGTCACCTATCATCTCTCACTGGTGTGTATACTGTTAGCGCAGACGGGGTGACCATTTCATTATTACCCATTAAAAAAAAGCCCCATCGCCAGTTTCAGTGACTTTGTTTTTGTACAATGTTTCTAGCAAATAAATTAAATTCCATTCCATCCCATCCCATCCCATCCATTCCATCCCATCCATTTCATCCATTCCATCCATTCTATCCATTCCATTTCATTTCATTTGTTTTATATTGTAAACCATAGGATCTACGTCTTTTTTGCAAGTTTCTGAATATCTGTTAATTTTTTATTTTATTTCTGAAACTTATAATTAGAGTACAGAGTTTCAATATGAAAAGCGGATTGGAGACACTCACGTTATTCGAAAGTCTACGGAATGCTTCAGTTTCTTATCTGTGGGCGACAGTTGGCGGGACGTGTAGTGTTTGTGACCGCTCAGCCTTTTATCCATTGCCTCTAGTAACTGACTATCGGATATCTGCAAAAAAAAAAATATGTATATTTAATTTTTAGCCACGATTTCGTCTGTTTGACTGGGATATTTTATGTTCATACAGCAATACTGGTTAGTTAATTAGAATTTTTTTTTATACAACTTAGAATGGCAAACAAGCTGACAGCCCACCTGATGGAAAGTGGTAACCGTCGCCTATAGACATAAGCAATAGCATAGATATAACAGAGTATACTGTTTCGCCCATGATACCCCCCATGCGTTGCCATTCCCGAGGACTCAGGTGTTATTTCTCTGTACCCAGTAAATTTTGCGCCATATCCCACCCTTTAAACTGAAACACAGCCATGCAAACACAACTGCTTTACAGTTGAAACACGAATGGGACAAAGGTACCCAAGCAATCGATTTTTGTACAAAGTCTCCTTCTGGTTTAATTCTACTAACATTAGTACATGAGTGCAACTGCAACAACGCGATCAACACGAGCAGCGATGTATTATTTTCCTTAAAATGAGACATTTAAAAGTGAAACACGTGATGTAAAACGTGCGTGGACGGAATGGCGATCGGAGAGATTATACGCCGTATGTTCCCGGCGTAGAATGGGCTACTCCTTCCTTTCCCGTGGGTGTCGTTAGAAGCCACTAAGGGAACTAAATTGACGAGGAATGAGAATGAACACTAAAAGCCAATCCACCTGCCAAACGTGGCAATTACTGACAAAACCCTCCATTAGGGAGAGGCCTATCTTCAGCAGTGGGGCCTGATATAACACTGATAGTGTTCGCATTGCCCCATCTCACCCCTCAAACCGATACACAGCTATGCAAGCACAACTGCTTTGTGGCAGAAGTACGAGTGGGACAGACGTCCCCACGCAGCTATCTTTTATACAAAATGTATTGAAACAGCCTATACCTTGGTGGGGTTGAGGCAGGCTTCGTCCATGATTGCGATAATGCCCTGGTGCGGGGCGTCCACCAGCTCGCAGATCACGCGGTTGTTAAAGTACTTGACTGGCGTCCACTGGATGCCCTCTCGCGCGTACTCCTCCTGCTCCTGCTTCAGCACCAGCTCTGAGGGTAACAGATATACAGGGTAACCAGATGTAAGGGGCAGGTTGGCCAAAATGAAAACAGCTGCTTCGGATGAATGGCCCGATTCAGATGGCAGATTATTTTCCCATCGAAAATGCACCATAACCATACTTTTGACAAAGTAGACAAAAGAGGGAGACTTTGACAAAAGTCGTTTGCTTGGCACCTCTGTCCCATTTGTGTTTCTACCGTGAAGCAGTTGTTTGCATGGCTGTGTTTCGGTTTCAAGGGTGGGATATGGCAGTGAATTTACTGGGTGCAGAAGAATAACACTTGAGTCCTCAGGAATGTCAACGCATGGGGGGTATCATGGGCAAAAGAGTATACTCTGTTATGTCCATGGTACTGCTCATGTCTATAGGCGACGGTTACCACTTTCCATCACGTGGGACGTCAGCTTGTTAGCTTGTTCAGCTTTAAAAAAAAGAAATACTAAGAAACAGCCGCGTCTAAAGTATACCTGTCAGTTTATCACGAAGCAACCAGAGTGGTAGCCGTAGTACATCCTCTTGTAATAGAGACGCGTGCGGATAGGATGCAATTTTTTTTTTTTATACAACTTAGAATGGTAAATAAGCTGACGGCCCACCTGATGGAAAGTGGTAACCGTCGCCTATAGACATGAGCAGTACCATGGACATAATAGAGTATACTGTTTCGCCCATGATACCCCCCCCCCCATACGTTGCCATTCCTGAGGACTCAGATGTTATTTCTCTATACCCTGTAAATTCACGCCATATCCCACCCTTCAAACCGAAACACAGCCATGCAAACACAACTGCTTTACGGTTGAAACACGAATGCGACAGAGGTGGCCAAGCAATCGACTTTTGTACAACATCTCCAGAGGGAGACTTTGTACAAAACTACTACTCCCTTAAATTGTTGTGATGACGACGATGCTCACCAATGAACAGTTGCTGCAGCTTCTCGTTACAGTAGTTGATGCAGAATTGCTCGAAACTGTTCGTTTCAAATATCTCGAAGCCGTATATGTCCAAGACACCGATAAGCGTGTTTTTGTACGTCCCAGCTGGCACTTCTATGGCTTTGTTGATCTGTAATAATATATAAAAAAAAATACTATATACAAATTATTTTAATTGCCGTGTGTTCTCAGCATAGAGCCATCCTTCATTACCACTTTCCATTAGGTGGGCCGTCAGCTTGTTTGCCTTTTTAAGTTGTATAAAAAAAAAAAATTAAGATGGGTGTCGTAAGAGGCGACTAAGGGAACTCAATGGTCGAGGAAACGAGCAGCAACATTCCTATTAAAACTTAAAACATTACCTAAGCTGCGGTTGCCAATTTGCCTGCCAAATGGGATTTTGCCAGTACTTGCCATGTTTGGCAAAACCCCACAATAGGGAGAGGTCTGTGTTCAGTTATTTTAATTAAGCGAGAATCACGAATTCAAACGGTACACGCTGGCGGGGCACCAGTGAGAGATGATAGGTGAGGATGAAAAGACAGGTCAGTTAGCCCATCGTGACGAATACACTTGGAATTAAGCACGAAGGTTTTCAGAGTGAGACCACGTGATGCTCGACTTGACATATTGCTAGCAATGCGAACGGTAGTCCGCGTTACTAACAATCTCTACCCCCCCCCCCCTCTTGATAATATTGTATAATTAATACAAGAACGCAGTGTAAAACGACCCCCCCCCCCCCCCCCCCCCCCCCCTCAGAGACTAGTTGGAGTGAAGATCTGAAATGCGTTGCAGGGAGTCAGTGAATGCAGGCGGCTCAGGCCCGTTCTTTAGGGCAGTCTTCTTAATACCTTTTCAAAAGGCCGGCAGTACACCTACAATGCCGTCGATGTTGTGGGTGATCATGGGTAGCGGTAGTCACTTACCATCAGGTGAGACGCATGCTCGTTTGCCCTTGTGTTGTAAAAAAAGTCTATGGGGGAGACTTATGTCCAGCAGTAGATTTGATAATGGCTGAAATGATGAATATAAGAACAATGTGTAGTGGAGGACGCACCTGCTGCACGATCCAGGTGAAGAGGCGGTCGTAGGCGGCCTTGAGGAGCGCGAGGCGCGTGTAGTGCGCGTCGCAGAGCGAGTGCCGCTTGCTGACCAGGTCGCCGCCGGCCGCCAGCACGCGGCCCGCCATGCTGCCGCGCAGCGCCTCCGCCGCCACGCCCAGCGCCCGCGCGCACGCCTGCAGCGGCCCGCCCACATCCAGCTGCCCCTCCTGGCCCTCGCTGAACGTCAGCTCGCCCTGCACCCAAACTTAACCAGTTCATTAAGCTCCTACAGTAAAACTTCTACTCTGAAGGTGAAGATTTAATGATAACCCCGGCTGCGCCATCAGTATACGCTGGCAGGGTACCAGTGACAGATTATAGGTCGAATCGTGACGAATTTCACAAGAATTCACCACGATCGTTTCCAGGGGCAACCGCGTGGAGGCCGACCTATTACAATATATTGCTAGTAATGGGAATACTACACTCTTTTTTTTTATACAACTTAGAATAGCGAACAAGCTGACGGTCCACCTGATGGAAAGTGGTAACCGTCGCCTATAGATATATGTAGTACCGTGGACATAACAGAGCATACTGTTTCGTCTATGATACGCCCCATACGTTGTCATTCCTAAGGACCCAGATGTTATTCCTCTGTACCCAGTAATTTCACGCCATATCCCACCCTTCAAACTGAAACGCAGCTATGCAAACACAACTGCTTCACGGTTGAAACACGAATGCGACAGAGGTACCCAAGCAATCGACTTTTGTACAAAGATTAGGGATCCTTACTAAAACTTTCGTAACGTAACTCGAGGTGTAAAAAAAATGCTATAAAATATCTTTCGTCGTGTGCGCTGCGGAAACAATTGGTGATAGAACAAAAGTACGTTCTACAATATTGAAGAAAATATCAATAACTACAAAAAAACTTCGCGATACTATATGTCCAACTATCATCGTTATGTCACAATAACCACTTTTTAAAATGTTGTAAAAATGTCCACCAATGTTTTACCAGAGGGAAACTTTGTACAAAAGTCGATTACTTGGGTACCTCTGTCCCATTCGTGTTTCAACCGTGAAGCAGTTGTGTTTACATGGCGGTGTTTCGGTTTGAAGGCGTGAATTAACTGGGTACAGAGGAATAATAATATATAGGAATGGCAACGCATGGGGGGTATCATGGGCGAAACAATACTCTGTTATGTCCATGGTACTGCTCATGTCTATAGGCGACGGTTACCACTTTCCATCAGATGAGCCGTCAATTTGTTTGCCATTCTAAGTCGTATAAAAAAAAATGACCACCGGTGCGAAGCCGGGACGGACCGCTAGTGCGTATATAAATCTTCAGCGTACCAAACAGTAATTCCTATAAGTAAAAGAGGACAATTTAGCAATGTAAATTAAGTTACCCAATAACACGTAGCATTCTCATGCATGATTTACTAATAGGGTTGGCCATAATGATTTCCGTCGCGGTCGCTCGCTTCCCGGCGGTATTGGCAAACGGACAATTCGATTTGAATCTTGACAACCATACAATTTATTACTCATACGTAATTAGCAAGTAATTGTTAATTAAATTGGAAGAATACAGAAGTGAATTAGAAAGTTGATAGGTATTTTAAATCTTCAAAACTTTGATCATGGCTTATGTTCAACAGTGGACAATTAAACACTGATATTATGATAATAATGATGTATAAAGTACTTTTTCTCAAACATGCTTGGAAATGTGAGCATTATTTTAACAATCTTCTTCGAGATAAATCTACATATATAATATAACTGGCCAGATACATGCGGGCATAAACGGCAATAATATGAAAATCCATATCTGTCGTGTTTTGCGGCCAGATAAATTACTATGTAAACTCATATCTGTCCTGTAATTTAAAAATGGAATGACCTTTTATTTTGAATCATGGTTACCAAGGAGGTAACTAATAAAAGGTTTTATTTAAATTTCGAACTGTCTTGCAAATAGAAAGCTGTTTATTGAAAAAAAAAAACAAAGGAACATTATGGCGCGTGAAAAAATATTATTGTTCGTTATTCGTCATTGAACAAAAGAGAGATGTGTTTTTGATTTCCGCGCATTGTTTGAGAAAAGTGAATATAGAAAGTTGATAGATATTGATAAAACTCAAAACTATGTGTCCTCGGATTATGTTCAAGACGGAAAATTTGATATGTTCGTAATAATGATGTATGCTGGCCGCTGCAGTAATTTACATCAAATTTGTATTTTAGGAGAAAGGGATTGTTAGCATTGGAGTTTGACAGCCCCATTGCTAGCAATATGCCTTATTAGGTCAACTTCCACGTGCTTCCCCCTGGAAACCATCGTGAACAATTCTTGTGGAATGTCACGATGGGCTAACTGACCTGCTTCATCCTCACCTATCATCCTTCACTGGTGCTCCACCGGTGTATACCATTCATTAGAAAAAAATTGTATTTTGTTCGGCTTCGAAATTTCGGAAGACATTCCATGGTATTCCATGGTATGGACCTTTTGGTCACTTACCAACAATATGACGCCGACGACTATATTCCATATGTCAGTAACAACAGCCTGCGAGAAACCGAGCGACGTGAACGCACTATTTGTTACTGAGAACAATTTGGAATCCTGCGCCGTTGGACGCTCGCTGCCTAGTATCTTGTACGTGGTGGTCGTGTTAAGACCGAACTTCTTCGTATGTGCATTGTTCGTACTCAGCAACTGTAAAAGAAATTAAATAATTTTTAAAGACAACATTTAAAAAAAAAAAGATTAGCATTGTTTATGATTTTGTTCCTCAAAAAACCGACCTAAATAGTGATAATAATAACAATAATATACTTTATTACTCTACACTACAATTTGGTCCATTTTGTTGTTAACAGTTTTCTTACAAACTATGTTAATAAAAAAGAAAAGCAAATTAATTAAAGCAGTTCACTCAGATGTGACCCAGCCGACTAGATCAGCATCTGAATGAAATGCCCAATTATAGGCGAGTTATATTTCTCGCCTATTACTTTTAGAATGCTGTTGGTGCTTGTTCTAACCCTGTGCAGCAATGATGCAGTTCTCTTTCTCCTTATAGCGTAGTAGTCATCTACGCGAGATTGAGCAAACATGCTGGAGGCGCTACAAAAGCGAGGTAGCCCCAACAGCACTCTAAAACTATTATTGTACTGGATTCGTAGGGCACTGAGTGAGGCCTGTGTGCAGTTGACCCACAGGCTGCTCGTGTAGAATGTTTGGCAGTATGCTTTGAAGAGTTGTTGTTTTGATTTAAAAACTAAACTACTGGAACCATGTTTGATAAAATTTCTATGTGGACCGAATCTGAAATCTATAAGTATATCTATATATATCTATCTGAATATCTGAAAGTATATCCTTTCAGAAAGAAAGGAATTTTTCAAATCGGTTTATAAATATAAAAATAAAAAAATAAAACTTTTTTCCAAACGAGGCATCATCATCTTCCTACCCTTATCCCAATTATTATTTGGGCTATTGGTTTTATTTATCCATATTACAAAAAGATTTGACTTATAGTTTTACGACCGGCCGCCTGCCTGACGTCAACCCTCTTTGGGAATGGAACCTCGTTTTTAAAAAGAGGTAACAAGAATAAAAAAAAAAATACAATCAAATTGAGAATTTCCTAACTTTCAACCTCATAACTCAGTCAGCTATGAACCGATTTAGAATCTCTTTTAATCTGAAAGGATATACGCGCTACATGGTACAACATAAACGTCTTATAAAAGACAAGACACTGGTCAAAACACCCAAGATAATTTAGGTAAATTATTATAATTCATCCGAGCGTACAATCTTATATTATATGTAAGCATATTTAATATTTATTTATATATATTTATTTGTCGTAAGAAGTAACTAATGAAGGACGAGAGATGGGCAACAACGTCCCTCTTAAAACATCACTAAAGCTTAACCGCGGTTGCCAATCCGCCTGCAAAGCGTGGCAACTACTGGCAAAACCCCTTATCGGAAGGCTTATGTTCAGCAGTGAACAGTTAAAGGCTGATATGACAATGATATGTATAGTATTTATATTTGTATCTAGTATGTATATACATCAATTAAAACTAGGTACCACAATCGAATTCTAATACTTCCCTAAGGTTGACTGGGAGAAAATGCTTTTACCAGAGGGAGACTTTGTACAGAAGTCGATTGCTTGGATACCTCTGTTCCATTCGTGTTTCTACCGCGAAGCAGTTGTTTTTGCATGGCTGTGTTTCGGTTTGAAGGGTGGGATATGGCAGTGAATTTACAGGGTACAGAGGAATAACATCTGAGTCCTCGGGAATGGCAACGCATGAGAGGTATCATGGGCGAAACAGTACATTCTGTTATGTCCATGGTACTGCTCATGTCTATAGGCAACGATTACCACTTTCCATCAAGTGGACCGTCAGCTTGTTTGCCATTCTAAGTCGTATAAAAAAAAAGTCGACTTGTACACACACTTTGTACTAAAGATTAAAGAAATAAATAGCTGATCGCATCACTTCCTGACTCTTAAAAAAAAACATAAAAGTTCTTAATTCAATGGGCAATAACATTATGGTTGTAAGGCTAAGTGATCGTTTTAGGGAACGCGATGAAGGTAACATCAATAATAATATAGGAGCTCGTAAACCGCATATTAAATGGATTAGTCTATGTAATAAAAGGTAATAAAGCAAATATCAGCAGCCGGCGGCTTGATAAATTAATCTAGGCATTTTTGTACGTGATAGCAATGAAAGATAGATAGATAAATAATGTTTAAGTAACTGTACGTTTAATTGTTGATTATTTAGCACTATACCATATATGTATATGTAAAATATATATTACCAGTATTAAGAGGCGACTAAGGGGATTTTATGGTCAAAGATGTAAGCAACAATGTCCCTATTAAAACTTCACCAAAAGCCTAATTCAGCCATTACCGAATAGTGACTACGTAAGCACATGCTGTTTTCTGATTAGGTTTAAAATCCTGTCAGTCAGAACTAAACTATTTTAGTACATCCCTTAACTCGGGTAGTAACATATACTGAATAAGCTATTATATGTATCATCGATGTTTTTTTATTAGAATCGGCTCGAAAAAGTCTAGAGTCGGGTAGAAGACCAGAGGGAGACTTTGTACAAAAGTCGATTACTTGGGTACCTCTGTCCCATTCGTATTTCAACTGTAAAGCAGTTGTGTTTGCATGGCTGTGTTTCGGTTTGAAGGGTGGGATATGGCGTGAATTTACTGGATACGAAGGAATAACACCTGAGTCCTAAGGAATGGCAACGCATTGGGGGTATCATGGGCGAAACAGTATACTCTGTTATGTCCATGGTACTGCTCGTGTCTATAGGCGACGGTTACCGTCAGCTTGTTTGCCATTCTAAGTTGTACAAAAAAAATTTAGGGTTATAACATTTGTTTTTTACTATTATAATTATTTTAATGAATAAATAAATAAACTATCTGTCCACTGTCGAACATAAGCCTCCCCCATAGACTGCCATAAGGAACGGTGAGCCACGTGCCTCCACTGACTCTCTATAATGCATTTGAAGTTGTCACTAGTAAAAAATCGTCCTACACTGCGTTTGCCCGTACGGGGTCTCCACTCAAGAACCTTTCTTCCCCATCGGTTGTCGGTACTTCAAGTATGTGACCAGCCCATTGCCACTTCAGCTGCTTATCCTTCTGACTATGTCGGTTACTTTGGTTCTTTTGCGGATCGGATTCTGTCACGTAAAGAAACTTCGAGCATAGCCTACCACACTAATCGAAACCATGGCTCCCCTTTTATTATCCCACCGCTCTTCATTGGCAAGCAATTGATTCTCACACACTAGAATCTAAACGGTCGCATACAGTGTGTTTTCAGAGGCGTTTCCTTCCGCAAACTCTCAGGCTATGGAATGAGCTCCTTGCCAAAGTTCTTAAAGGCTACAGTATGGAGTTCTTCAAAAAGAATGCATTAATATTTCTTCAAGGACTACAACGCGCTTGTAACACCCCAAATGTTGCTAGCATAGACGAAGCATGTTTGTCATCGTCGTGGTATAAATAAAATATATTTAAAAAAAACTCCCATAGATATAAACTGCTCACCTGATAGAACGAATGGAAGTTCCTCTCGCCTGGCTGCAGGCTGACAACCCTGCTCTTCTCCAGCAGGTAGTTACTGATGTGGCCGCCCACCGGGTCACCCTTGTAGTCGAAGTGAATGTCCATGTATTTGCCGAACCTCGACGAATTGTCGTTCCTGTTAGTTTTTGCGTTGCCAAATGTTTCCAGTATCGAATTTGACTGGATTAATACATTTTTTACCCTGAAAAAAAAAATGGATAAATTTAATAATAATTGTCTTGACCAGACACAATTTTAATAATTCCTCTCCATCCTAAGGTCATCCGTGAGGTCCCGGCATAAAATAGGCCACTCTTTCCTTTCCCGTGGACGTCGTAAGAGACGACTAAGGAAGAGCGAGGATGGGCAACAGTGTCCCTCTTAAAACATCTATAAAGCCTAACTGCGGTTGCCAATCCGTCTACCAAGCGTGGCAACTACTGGCAAACCCCAAAGGGAGAGGTTTATACCCAGTAATGAACAGTTAAAGGCTGAAATGATGACGATCTTAAGGTTGCCTGGAAGAGATCGCTACTTAGCGTTAAGACCGCCCATTGTTGCCTCTTTATCTTGCCTTTATGTAATTAAGTTTTAAGTATTAATTTTGTTTGTGTACATATTGTTTATCTTTATAATCTGTATCATTCTCTTAAGGAAACAATAAAGACTTTTCATTCATTCAATATTAAACATTCTCATGTCTGTAATCCTTACAATCACTGCTACCATTGTGGTGAACATTCGGCGAGCATATGACAATTCAATGTAACAGGAGACAAACCAATCGTTAATATAAAAAAAATTATATACTTATTACAATTAGAAATTAATTATAAAAGCCTAAATGTTACGTGGTAATTGAAAAATAGAATTTTTAATTTTTAACAAAAATGAAAACAAAAATAAATAGCTAACAATTCGCCATTTTTATTTAATTAATTACAAATTAATTTTCCCCTTAAAAACATTAATCTTGATTTATTTTATTTTATATACAGTGAACGCTCTATATACTCATACTACACTCATTTGAACCACTTTCAATAAAAAAAATCTTATTAGGAAAACTTGCTTATAGGGGGAAAAAAGTATAAAAATACTTTACTGTCTAGAACATATTTTTACTTGTTTTACTAACTACATAATATATAATATAATAATAATAGAATAAATAAAATATAAAGAATATTGTTTACAGAGAGGCTGCTTATATAGAGCGTTCACTGTACTAGCGTAAATTTGAAAAAAAAAATCTTTTTCACGAACTTTGTGGAAACACTCGACGTGTATGATGAACTCACCTGTCTATGTATTCTCTGTGTACTTGCGTTGTATTAGCGGCTATATACTTCATGATAAATTTGGACGCTTCCGTCTTCCCCGATCCTGACTCCCCTGATATTAGCACGCACGTATCTTTGCCCTGGAACAAAATTGTTGAATATTACTGAATATAATTTTAATACAAACATATGGGGATTGTTAATAATACTACTACGGACTACCAGTTCCATTGCTAGCAATATACCCTGTTAGTCGACCACCACGTGGTCCCCCCTGGAAACCATCGTGCTAAATCCCAGGTGTAGTCTAACTGACCTGCCTTTTTATGCTCACCTATCATTCGTCACTGATGATGTTAACGCGGGCAGGGTTACCATTATCATCCAATAAAAAGGTTAGAATTATCGATTATGGAAACCATAGCAAGTAGAAATTGGGTTGACTGGAAGCGATCTCTGTCAGAGATAATTTCACCCTTGCTCACAATATTTATAACTGCATTAACAATGTAATTTACAAGTGCGATATATATATATATATATATATATATATATATATATATATATATATATGTATATATATATATATATATATAAAGGCATTCTTACATAAGTATCGTAAGCATGGGCAATATGGATACCGATTCAATATCTACATATATATTGGATTCCTCTGGACATTAATGGCGGGAAAGTCATCTCCCATTTCGATTCCGTCAACATCTACCAGTAAACTTCAATATCTGTCGTTTAACAGAGGGAGACTTTGTACAAAAGTCGATTGCTTAGATACCTCTGTCCTATTCGTGTTTCAACCGTGAAGCAGTTGTGTTTGTATGGCTGTGTTTCGGTTTGAAGCGTGAATTTACAGGATACAGAGGAATAACATCTGAGTCCTCAGGAATGGCAACGCATGGGGGGTATCATGGGCGAAACAGTATACTCTGTTATGTCTATGGTACTGCTCATGTCTATAGGCGACGGTTACCACTTTCCATCAGGTGGGGCGTTAGCTTGTTTGCCGCCACCTACCCTTTGTCGTTTTTCTCAATATCCTCTACTCAAAGGTTGTGTGGAAGAGATTGCTTAGCGATAAGGCCGCCTTTTGTATCACTTCTCATTAAAATTAACTGTACTTATTTTTTTTTATATATATATTATTCGTTATTGGACCAGATTTAGTAACTAATATATATATTATATAATATGGGTATTTCTCTGTAAGCTCGTACAGGTCCCATACAAATGCTGTCCTAACAATTATTTTTGCCATTTGCCAAAAAACCGTGTCGTATTTCGAAGAAAATTAACTATTATTTTAGTTAGATAAGGAGGCCCACTGAATTTATACGTATTTTCTGAGTTATTAACGATTTTTCAAAAAATCATGACAGGGGACTGTATGAGGTATCAGGGGACTGTTACAGGGCCATCGCTCAAGAAATGCCGTCGTTCGATGCCACATGGAAGAGTATTGAAAATTGGTCGTAGATGTGTCCAAAGAGCAGCAGATGAATGGGCTATGTTCTCGGAGACTGTGCAAAAAGAAAGAATGGAATTTCGTAGGTAAACCACTAAGGTATGCAGGCTCAATTGTGCTCGAGATCCATCGAAATGAAAGTTCTGTATCTCTTTTGCGTATTTAGTGCTATAATTCTCGCTAAAACCTACGTGGATCAGAACTTCATCATCTTGTAGATTTGACTTTAAATTATTCATTGTTTTATATTTGTGAACAATATTTCGCTGGTGATCCAAAAATTTGTGTAAATCTGTCTGTAAATGTGTTATGAGCTCTCTTGGACATCCAAATGTTTTTTTCAAATATTTAGTCACCAGTCGGTTCCATTTAGTCTTAAAATCTTGAATTTCAGAAATCCACATTTTATATCCTTTCTGTCATCAATTTGTTTTTATCAGGTATTTTACATCGTTTAGCTACAGGTACATCTAAACCATTGAGATTAGAATTTTTTCCAGGTCTAGACATCGACTTTATTTCATTAGCTATCTAGTACCTGTACTTTTGTACAATTCTGCCAGTAACAATTTTTTTTAAGATTTGTCTCTCTTTGGTACGTTACAGTGTGAAATATTTTTTTTCAACTGCTTGCTAATGACGTATATACTTCTTTTTTTGATCAGGCTCCGCTAACATTTTCAAAATTTTTGTCTTAGGTATACCTTCAACGATCTTTTTGTATTTACTATTAAATCTCGCTAATTTTTTTTGTACTTCACAATTTATTTATTTATTTCTCTGTTAAACTTCTTTTGTTGTTCTAAGACTTCTTTTCTTCTTTGCTGTAGACTAGTACTGGAAACTGCTGGGCTTGGAGCTGGAGATATTTGAACTTGAACTAGAGCGGCGGGTCTTGTAGACAAAGTATCTGCTTCTGGATCTTATAACGGTGTATTTTCTCGTACAAAATTATCAGTGACGCTTTTCAGTCTTAGTTTGTTGGCTCGGTATATAGTACAATATTCATTCCACTTCTTTCAGGCAGCTCTGTACTCACGAGATGACCATTAAAAATTTTCACAAACCTTTTTCTTTTTTCTTTTGGTACTTCAACTTCTCCTTTTCTCTTATTTGTTATCTCTTTTCAGAATATTTTTTCTTCTTTCGTATCGTAGTCGCTCTGCTTCTTTCTTTTTTTATAGTAGTTCCCCTCGGGATTTTTTTTTTCTTTTTAGGAACAAAATATAATGTATGTTTGATCGACCTGTATAAAATAAGTTTATAAAGGAAAATAATGCAAAGCAATCATACTTAGCGGATAAATTTACACCAACAATATATAAAAACAATAACCAATATGCAAAATACACAGTCCCCTGTTGTTTAAAACAGTCCCCTGCTGCATTTTCAGGCTATATTTAGGTTAGATTTCACAATATTTACAAAACTGGTGTAAAATAGTTTTTTAGGAACCTGCCTATCAATTTAGACATAAATAATAAAACAATAAACTATATAGCGATTATTAAAGTAATTAACATATAAATAATATTACTTACCAGAGGACTGTGTGTGGTAGCGGACCAAACGCGTATTTACCTTACAAATGAAGCTCTATAAACAAAATGATGTCTCGTTGCCACTTTCGGCAAGGTTGCCAATAGTAATTGCGTTTCGTTTCTCTCTAAAAAACTTTTGTAAATATTACAGTTTTTTTTTAATATATAAATTTTTGGCAGGGGACTGTATGGAAATTCTAGGGACAAAGTTTACAAGTGTTTATAATATAATAGAATTCGTAATGAGACCTTGTTTTACGAAAATATATTAATTTTATATTTTTTCTTATTATATTAACTGCCAAATGTATGTAGTTTCAATAACTTCTTCATAAATCTCGTTTCTAAGCGGGAATACAGTGATGGGGACAGTTAGGGGACTGTATTTTTAGAGCTTCGATCACTTTTAGAAAAAAAACTAAAATAGTTAAGGTTCTAAAAACAATGGGCCCGTAAATTTTTGGGGTCAAAGTTTCATTAGAAATGATTTTTATGAAAGTAATTATATTACTTTTTGAAAAAAACAGTCGGGACAGCCGATTACGAGTTTACAGAGAATCACCCATATATTACCCACACCTACCTCTTTTATAATTCATGTAATTATTGATAAGTCATTGCAAGTCAGTACCGTTTAAAAAAAAAAACTAAAAATGTATACTTCTGTGGAACGATGTTTGAGTAATGTTCAGAAATTACAGCTGGAAGCCATGTAGAATTATGTTGAAATACTTTAAAACTTTTTCTTGTGATTTGCGACCGTAAAATTTTTACTGAACACTATAACCACTCTACGGTAATCTTGGTAAAAGACAGAGTAAACGGCGTAACCGGTCCCGTATTTATTATAAAACCATTATTTTTCTCTTTATTTTTTTTTTTTTGTAAAAGAGTGCAAGTATTTTCTTACAATATAAAGACGTGCGTGTTCTACCGCTTGTACAACAGATTGTGCTCAAAGGAATTAATTCAATATGATGCCTACGGCCACTTTCTATCATCGTCGCTAGCTCACCATCGACAGGGAGTTCACCCTCATACCCTACAGCCTAAATGGTCGCGTACAACGCGGTTTCAGAGATGTTTTCTCCCACGAACACTCAGGTTATGGAATGAGCTCCCTGCCGAGGTTTTTCCAAGAGACTACAGCATGGGGTTCTTCAAAAAGGGGGTAAAGAGGTTTCTTCAGGGTCGGCAACGCGCGCGTAATACGTCTGGTATTGCAGGCATTCATAGGCTACGGTAACCGCTTACCATCAGGTGGACCGTATGCTTGTTTGCCACCTCAGTGGTATAAAAAAAAAGACTTAAAATTTCATATACCAAAACTAAGTGCAGTGTGACAACGTCAGAATTATCAATATTTTGTGGAAACCATGTCCATTACACGCACGGGCAAAAGCAGCGTCCCCTTTAAAATACCACCAAAGCCAACTGCGGTTGCCAACCCGTCCGCCAAACGTGGCAACTGCTTCACGGCAGAAACACGAATGGGACAGAGGTAGACAAGCAAACGACTTTTATACAGTCTCCATCTGGTTCATATTCACATTTTTGTAAATTTAGTAAAAAAAATACATAACTCGCCACACCTCGGTAAGTTTCGTATGCGTCCTTTTAAGGACTTGGGTGGTCGCCTTTGAGGTAGGCGATAAAACGGCCGCCACTCTTTACGACTCATTTGGACAACGTCCAAATGTCGTTTGGATACAAGACAATAGGCACTCAGTACGGTGCTAAGTAACGACTCAAGTGGCGAAGCGATTCAACACGCTGCCTCACCTACCGAGGGTTCGATTCCTGGACAATACAGACATGTGTTTATGAGTATATTTACCTGGATATTACATAACTTTACGGTATTATCTAACATTTATTTTATTTATATACACATATATATATATACGATACAAGTATATTACAGTTGATTGACATGCGTAATGTTTTTTTATTAAATCTGGTACCCATTAATGGCGGCTGGTACCTAATAATAATAATGGCATGGTAACCCGGCCTGCGTTATCGGTATACACTGGCACCAGTGCGTGATGATAGGTGAGGATGAAACAGGTGAGTTAGCCCATCGTGACAAATTCAACAAGAATTAGCCACGATAGCTAAGGGGAATCACGTGGAGGTCGATCTGATAAGGTATATTGCTAGCAACAGTACTGTCAAACCCCATTACTTACAATCCCTCCTCCCCCCCAAGCCCACGAAAGGTTATTAGGTACTATCAATGACTGACATTAATTTATTGAACGTTGGGACCATATACGAACGACAATACGACAACTCGACTATTTCTTTTCATTGCTAATTTGAGAACGCAATTGACACGTTGGCATCGTGTTCTACTCTTATGGTGGTGTTAAATTAATTCAATTATAAATCAGTGGTTTGTCGTAAAAGAAACCCATATCCGTTTTATGGTGGCCGTTTTATAGAATCGCCGATAAACAGTTTTAACGCAATCATATCGCAGTTTTGGTTTTACGTAACTATTGGTTCTTCAAAAAAGGAATAAAGAGGTTTCTAAATGGTCGGCAACGCGTGCGTAATACCCCTGGTATTGCAGGCGTTCATAGGTTACGGAAACCACTTACCATCAGGTGGGCCGTATGTTTGTTTGCCACCTAAAACGGTATAAAAAAAATTGGTGTATTTAGGATTATGTTTTGGAGGGAAGGGGGACTGATCCCTTAAAATGGGCACATATGTACTCTTAGACTTTTTTTATAACACAGAGGACAAACGAGCACGCAGCTCACCTGATGGTAAGTGTCTACCGCCTCCCATCAGCACCCGCAACACCTGATGAATTGCAGGTGTGCTACAGCTGCTTGTGTACTTTTAAAAAGGAATATATGCTTTACATATCTTTGCCTATAACTGAAAACTCAGCTCTTCACCCTAGGGAGGGCGCTAGACGATTCCGAGATGGTCACGTTAATTTTTTTTTTATTTTATACAACTTAGAATGGCAAGCAAGCTGACGGCCCACCTGATGGAAAGTGGTAACCGTCGCCTATAGACATGAGCAGTACCATGGGCATAACAGAGTAAACTGTTTCGCCCATGATACCCCCCATGCGTTGCCATTCCTGAGGACTCAGATGTTATTCCTGTTGAATTCCTCACAATGGGCCACTAGCCTGAGTTCATCATATCTTATCTGGATATAATACCTCCCTGGTGCCTTGCAAGCGTATACCAATAGCGCAAGCGGAGTTACCATTCCATTATCATTCATTAAAAAAAAACTAAAAATCCTATTTGTCTAAGGAGGTTTGTATACCTTCTCTTTGTACTGACCTGTTGTCGTAACACCCTCTGGCAGGCATCCGCCACGGCGTACACGTGCGGCGGCACCTCGAACATCTCCCTGCCCCTGTACTGGGCCATGTGCTGCGGCCCATAGATGTCCAGCGACTTGTACGGATTCACTGACACCAGCACCTCGCCGATGTATGTGTAAATCTTGTTGTGTTTGAATCTGGTGGAAAACAAAAAAAGAATAAAGCACAAATAACAGGTGCTTATGGCATCAACAATATATTCTATTATGCCACCCTATCAGGTCGACCACCATGTGGTTCCCTCTGGAAACCATCGTGGGTAATTCTAGTGGAATTCGTCACGATGGGCTAACTGACTTGCTTTCATCGTCACCTATAATCCCTCACTGGTGCCCCTGGTGGTGGAGATTACCATTCCATTATCGCCCATTAAAAAAAATGTATATATAATACTATCGACCCGCCCCGGCTTCGCACGGGTACACATTACATCACATTAGAAACCTCTAAAATTATCAGTGTTTCTTTACAATATTATTCACGTATTATACCTTCCTCTTGAATCACTCTGTCTATTAAAGAAAACTGCTTCAAAATCTGTTGCGTAGTTTTAAACATTTAAACATACATAGAGACGGACAGACAGCGACAGTGACTTTGTTTTATATTATGTAGTGATGATACGCAGGGGGCAAACGAGCACACTGCTCACCTGATGGTAAGTGATTACCGGCACCATAGGCACCCACACAGAAGTTGCAGGTGTATTGCCGGCCTTATAGGAAGGAATATTCTCTTATCATCTCAGCCATTATCCGTCTACTGCTGAGCATCAGCCTCCCCCATAGGCTACCATAAAAAACGGTCCTGAACCACCTGCATCCACTGACTCCCTGCAATGCACTTGAGGTCGTCACTCCATCCAGTAGGGAGTCGTCATACACTGCGTTTTTTACTGAAAAACCTTTCTTCTCCATCGGTTGCCGGTTCTCCGAGCTATGTGACCAACCCGATATGTTATGCTATATAAGTAAATCCGTTTCCATATTTGGGGATTTACAATTGAGGAAGCCTCAAAAGAGACTTCTTTATGAACATCGCCCTCACAACTTCTAGATTTAGTACCTATTGATACGGAATTCAGAAGCCTAATTTAATTAACCAACTTTATTTGTAGCGCAACGGAGAACGATCATTACTCTACTTGGGCATCTCAACACAAGTATTACGATAATACATTACACAGCGGACGTGTGTAACTCTTTAGTGTGCACTTAGTGATGTAACAGTACACATGCATACACAAACATAACGTTTAGATCACCGATCAGAATACGCAAATGTGTGCGTCTCATGCATGACTAACAATGAACAAATGCAAGGAATGGCGTCACCGAAGAACACGGTGAAAAACAAATAAGCTATTATCTATTAAGAAAATGTATAGCTGTTTAGTTTCTGGTGTTGGGTTTAGAAATTTAAATTTTTCAATAAAATTAAGATAGTTTTTGCTGTAGCCTTTTGTATATTTCGTGGATATATTTTCTTTTTATATTATTTAGAATGGCAAACAAGCTGACGGCCTACCTGATGGAAAGCAGTAACCGTCGCCTATAGATATGAGCAGTACCATGGACATGGACAGAGTATATGTGGAACACAATCCAATTTACAAGGTTCAGAGGATATCATGGGCAAAACAATATACTCTGTTATGCCCATGGTACTGCTCATGTCTATAGGTGACGGTTACCACTTTCCATCAGGTGGGCCATCAATTTGTTCGCCATTCTAAGTTGCACAAAAAAAACCTACGCAAAGACGATTGTTTCTTCACCATTTTTATGTAGGGCGTCGTCTTTTACGAAAAAGCCAAAAAGTTAAATCAAAAGTCCATCCCCATCGCTATAAAATTATAATAAGAGTAACACGGTGCGCGAAACCGAATGAATTTGTTATTCGAATAATAAGTAATTACTAATTGTATTATTCGACTAATTTAGTATTGGTAATATACTAATTTTCGTAATAAAATTATTTTACTAATTAGTAGTCGTTTCCCTGTATCCAGTACTATCACACTACTACCAATAAGTGATAACAAGTGACCACCAAACAATTGGAAATCATTCGTATAATCCGAATGAATTGCTTAGTCGAATAATAAGTAATCGGATTAGTAATGTTGCGCATCGATACGTTAATCTTTCGAGGTCATTAGTTTTCAACAGACAGCGTTGCCCTTTAATAATAAACGCGATCCCCCCCCCCCCCCCAAGGGTCAGGCCCTACGATTGAGAAACGTTGTTGTCCACGAATCATAATAGGATTTGTTTGTATAACTTATCAATGTAAATGTACTAGTTCGTGAAGCCCAATAAACTTAGTAGGTCAAGCAAAACAAATTCAAATATGACTCATGTTAGGAGGACTTGAATATAAAGGACATGCTGGATAGAAAAAGTAACGAATGAGCAAGTTTTCAAAAGGGGTAATGAAAAAAAAAACAATAAAGAAAACAATAGAGAATAGAAGAGGCAAAACGCTGAGCCACCTTATTAGAAGTAAAAATAGAGGGCAAAAAAGAAAGGGGAAGACCGAAAGATAACTATATGGGAAAGAAAAACAAAACACTAGGTGTCATGTCGTATAAGGAAGTCAAAGATATGGAAGGGATAGAGCTGGCTGGAAGAAAATGCATGAATTAGTTGCACCGACAAGAGAAAACATTTAAATAAAAAAAGGAAGACTGAATCTCTCCAGATCACAAATAGACAATGTAACTTTACATGAAGTAATTTGTAACAAATGAGGATAGTAATAGACCCGGCATGCCAGCACGAGTCAATCGAAGCCCGCGACGAAATCGGACACGGAGTCGCGTGCGATTAACACTCGGTCACGGCTCGTTAACGAGATGTTCCGTACAATCAATCTATTAGAACGCTTGTCAATCTATTCACTTAGCTCTGATTACGCTACTTTTTTTATCTGATGAAAGAGAAACAAAAAACTGATGGGCTTTTAAATGCGAATAAAGTGTTAAATTGTAAACATTCGTATCGTGATATTCATGCAATGGTCTATTTATTTTTGAACAAACTACTATGTAAATCTTAGATTATATAGATAGAGTATACCCATACAAATGTTACGAGAAAAGCGGGTCAACTTTTTCACACAATTTTGCATGATAAATAGTTATAAGTGTTTCCTTTATAACTTCAGTAATTATTTAGTTTTATAAATTTTGCATCTTTTTAAAGCATAAAAATTCATTTTATTTATTAAATAATTAAGTATAGAAACATCAAGATACATTATGTGCGTTAGTATATAGAACACTGATAAAAAAACGAGTCAACTAATAGCTGACAAAAAAAGACTCGTTTTTGAAATTCAATGCTCTATCTATATCTAAGATGTCAATTTATAGTCTACTACGATAGAAACCAATGAAAATTTTGATAGTGGAAGAATATTATTCAATCAATTAATTGTTTTTTTTTTATATGTTCTACTATTGGCCATCAGCAGAATGTCTTACGGTTAGATTAATTATTAGTTTGTTTTGATTTTCATAAAATTTTATTTAAACATACTACATTGGTACTTTTCCTTTCAAAAACAACTTTTTATATTAATCTTTTATCGTACCTTTTACTAATTTGCAATTCTATCCACTAGATTGTTTTGAAATTAAAAGCATTATTCATGGGCGCACTAATTAGTAAATAATTCAATTTGGACGTAATGCAAATCTAATTTTATACAGTTACATAGTAAGTACGATATAAAGATCGTAAACTAAGTGAGATTACAATTGTAATTGGCCAGGGCAGCTTCTAAATAAAACCCTGAGCATAATTAGACGAAATGACATGCAAATATTCAAATCACACCATCGCTGATAATTCTGTCATTGACATTGACATTGAAATTGGTTTGAATAAGAAAACCGTAAGAATAGCCATAGAACTAATGATATAAGGAAATTAAACCAATTGGTTTAACTTCTAATTAATCTAAATTTAGATTGATTGGAAGTTTTATCGCCTCAATTTCTTTTTTATATGAGGCTAATCGCTGTCATTTCCAAACCATAGACAGGAACAGCACTGTGGGCTTCTTTTATTGCATATACTGTGACGCCCATATCACTTTTACTTATCATTGTATAATCTAAACACAATATTACACGAAACTCATTCGAAGAATTACAACCCAGAAATTTTTGTTACGGTGCCACGGTTTACGGAATACAGAAATGTATTGTTAGAGATGAAATAAAAACAAATTCATAATACGTAAGCAATAAATTAGTATTACCAACAAAACTAAAACTGGCTACGATAATCCAAATTCCAAAGGTAGTTACATTAATCAAATGATAAAGTCCCACACCAACGGTAAAATTTCACCATAACAGGTCGAGCTCGATATACCAAAACAGTTCTTTCAGTCTATACCAAATATTTAAATTTACTTAATTTTATTATCGAAAAACCTAATTTAATGACATTAACCTAATTTAATTTAATCACAATACTTAGAGGATACTAAAAAGGGCTAAAATGAGTTAATACTCACGTACCTTTGAAAGAAGAAAAGCGATCTCTTCATCTAATGATCGATTGAAAGAGATTTTACCAGAGGGAAACTTTGTACAAAAGTCGATTGCTTGGGTACCTCTGTCCCATTCGTATTTCAACAGTGAAGGAGTTGTGTTTGCATGGCTGTGTTAATCGGTTTTTGGTGGGATATGGCGTGATCTTATAAAGAATAAATGAGTCCTCAATCTTTGATGACATAGCAAAGATGAGGGGAGATGGAAGAAACAGTAACTCTGTTATGTCCATGGTACTGCTCATAGGAATTGACGAATATGACTTTCCATCAGGTGGGCGTCACTTATTTCTACGAGTTGTACAAAAAACTTTCCAAGAGACTACATATTTTAATGGGGTTCTTTAAAAAAGAGATAAAGAGGTTTCTTCAGGGTCGGCCACGCGCGGCTAATATCCCTGGTATTACAGGCGTTCATAGGCCACGGTGATTGCTTACCATCAGGTGGGTCATATGCTTGCTTGCCCCTCTCAGTGGTATAAAAAAAAGAGAGTTGTTCAATGAATTAAATTACTCGCTGTATTTCGGATGTTTATACAATTTCTGTTACACCCTACACAAGCCGTCTGGC